AACATAACAACATGGCTTTACTTCCTATATTTCGTCTTCATACTTTTCTACTGGATGGTTAAGACCAAGGTAAAGCAGGACCTGTGCAACAAGAGTTGTCCTAGCTGACTTTCTGCTTTCTACCTTTGCCTCCAATCTCCAGCACTGAAAATGAATCTTTATAACAGCAACTCAGCCTGTGTTATCTCTCTTCCGCATCTCTCCGGTGGCTGGCCCCCTGGCCAGTGTGGAGGCTGAAGTGTTTCCCGTGGTCCCGAGAGCCCTTCCCTGCCCTTACCCTTGCCCTAACCTGGCTCTGTGTCAGCCTCCTTGGCCTCCATGCTGCCCCTCATCACACCATGCATGCTCCTGCCTTGGGGTATTTGCACTTGTGGCTTTGCTCTGATTTCTGTGCTCTTGTCCCAGAAATTTGCTCAGCGTTCTTTTGTATCTCCCTGGAGTTTTTGCTCCAGTTACCTGTAGAGTGAGACCCCACCCAATTATCCTGTGTTGGAAAATTCCAGTTCTTATCCTGGGACCGTCAATTCCCCTTTTTTCTATGGATTCCCTGTAGATGTTTCACCATAAAATATATTGATTTACTTAGTTTGTTCATTGTCTGGCTTTACTGAGAAGGTCTTATTCTGTTACTCAGTGATGTTCAAATCCCAAGAACAGAGCAAGTTACTCATTCACTTTCTGTCTCAGTTTCTTCATCTGCAAAAATTAGGATAAAAATAGTAGCACCTTCAAGAGTTTTTTTTTTTTTTGTAAAAACTTTTATTGATTTATATATTTGGTACACGGTCTTGCTACGTAGCTCGGACTTGTAATGATCCTCATGTCTCAGCCTCCCCAGTGCTGGGATTACAGGTGTGCACCACCATGCCCGGTTTGGGGGCCCGCACATGCCCCAGGTTCAGGGGGTGGCATAGCATGTGGTACCTGGGATCGAATCTGGGTCCTTGCACTTGCCGGGCAGGCACCTAGATGGCTGAGCCATCTCCCCAGCCCCCGCAAGAGGTTTTAGAGCAGGTGCATTGTTATGTATAAAATGGTCAGAACAGTTCCTGCAGCACCCTGAAGAGCTATATGAATGTCTGCGGATATTAACACCACCACCACCACCATCACTCTTACAGCTGTTATGTGCTCCTGTAGCAAAGGAACACATACAGAGGCGCAGACGGAGGAAGCAGTACGATGCGTTGGGAAACTGGATGATAGGGACCGGGGAGATGGCTCGGTAGAATAAGCACTTGCCTGGCAAGCGCAAGGGCCTGAGTTCAATCCCCGGTTCTGCAAAAAATAAAAAGAAAAGAAAAGAAACGAAACTGAATGAGGATGATAGCTATCAGGATGCTCACAGCAGGGACATCCCAGGCTTATATCTGTGACTTCTCAGCCTGAAATAGTATTAGGTGTTAAGCTTTGTTCAACTATGAATGATCTATTTCATCCTACATGTAAGGTCCATAAAGGAGCCCAAGAGACCGTGTATAAATCAGTGTTAGGCAAATCGCCATGGCCTGAGTTCATAGAAGTTGCTGGCAAGATAGCACTTGATAAACATTAATTGAATGCATAATGGGTTAAGTGTTTATTTATTTTTTTTTTCTTTCCCTCCAAGTAGGCATTGGAAAAGATACAAGTTTGCTGGATGGAGCCAGATGCTGCCAGCTGACAGGGGAGGGGCTGGAGGGTGTGCGAAGTCACTTTCCTACTCAAGTGAGAAAGGGTTTCTGCAGGCCTGCCTCCTGGGAGTGGCTCCGTGCTAGCTCAGGGTCTGCTCCTTCCTCTTCATTCCTTTTCTGGCCCTGCCCTGCTGGCTCAGAGACACACCAGGAGGAAGTGCAGAACCTGCTGAACTGTCTTCTCTGGGCTCAGCTGCTGCCAAGGGAATGACTGAGGCAGAGCCTGTGGCTGGAAGGTAAGCTGGGTGGAGGGAAGAGCCAGGCAAGCTGGAGAAATCCTTTTTGGTAGCTTAGAAGAGCCCTGGGGCTCTGCGAAGGGAGAAGCCTGCGGGGATTGGAGGACCTAGGGTGAGGAGAGAGGTCTCAGAGCCTGCTGGCCAACCCACGGGAGCCTGTGGTCCTGAGCCCTCCTCTGGTTTCTATGGAAACCCATACATTGCTTATTTAATTCCCTTGTTTCTTAAGTCGTCCGGTCTCCTAAAAAGAAAAACGAAAGTGAAAGCAGGACTCCTTCGGCTTCCGGGCTTTACTCTCAGTCCTTCGGGCTTCTCTAAAGGCGCCCTTGCCTTTCCTTGCTTCTCTGCGCTCTTCACTCTCTGGCAGCCTTCTAATCTGCTTGTAACCAGGACCACGTATCCAAGCTCCGCGTTCGGAGGTTTCGCGCCGGCCCAGTGACCCTTGTTAGGCTGCTCAATCGATTCGTCTGCAGAAAGGAGGGCTTGTGAATTTTGCAGCCCTGAAGTGGTCATGTAACAGCCTGCGGCGTCCAGTGATTTGAACTGGGTCTGAAGTGGTGGGAGTTCGGGGAGGGTGGTTGAACTAACCTAAAGCCCAGGTTCCCTGTCTGTGCTCTGTTTAATTGCATGTGGGTGGAGCGAATAGGATTCCTTGAAGCTGTTTTTCCTAGAGTGACATAACTCTACCATTCCTCAAATGCTCGACAGTGGCTACTTCAATTCACTCTGTACGCATGCCATTATTTATTGTTGTCCCATTTGAGGAAACAGAAAATCAGAACTCCACAAATCTAGATGACACAATCAGGAGGTGACAGTTAAGAAAAATTATCTAACCAGGGCCTCAGACTCAGAGCTCATTCAGGGCAGAAACCAAACTTTTGCCTCTCCTACTGATATAGGGGAAAAAACGAAACTCCGGACCTGAAAAAAGGTACCTGGGATGAGTTTGTGTTCTCTGAAACCGAAGAATGAATTTTAGGAACAAATGAAAGTTATAAGCAGGATATATTAATTGGGGGAAAGAAAGCTCCTGTCCTACAGAGGGACAGGAGGGGCGCCCCCAAGAGTGTGGTCCCCAGGAAGCTATCTCTTCCCGGGACTTTTATAGGCGGGTCTAAGGAGGTGGAGAACATGGAAACTCTCTTAGGTGGGCATGAGGAGGGACAAAGCTTTGAGATTCAAACACCATTGCTCAGGTAAAATTGATTAAACCCAGTACCAAATGAGAAAGTGAGTCATGTAGCAAGCAGGCATGAATATGGGACAGGGTCTCTTCCTGTTGGGGGTTGGGTTAGTGACTCATTTGGGCTCTTTCAAGGTGATTGTTACCTATTTACAATATCAATCCCTGGTGCCCTCCCTAGGGAAGTATGTGGCTACATTTTTTTACTCTTCTGTCTTGAGGTGTGGCCCATAGGGCAATGTCTGTCTCTTGAAGTTGCAAAGTCACCCTGACTTCCATATTGCCTCCTTGAGGGCCTGGCCCTGTCTGACTGCCTGTAATATTTCTATCTAATTCAGCTGCATACACTATTGTTAAAAAATTATTTTATTGATACAGGGTCTTGGCAGCTCGGACACATAGTGATTCTCATTTTTCAGCCTCTTCAACTCTGGGATTGTAGGCATGTGCCATCACACCTGCTTTCGGGGAGGTGGTTAGGAATGCAGTACTGGAATTGAACCTGGGTCCTTGAGCTTGCCAGGCGGGCGTTTAGACCACTGGGCTATCTCCCTAGCCCCTCTTACTTTATTTATTTATTTATTTTGGCTGGCTCCGAATGCCTTCAGGGCGTTTGGCTGGCTGGAGTTGTGGGGATTGAACCACAGTAACCTGAGGCTGACTGCTTTTTTGAAGCAGCCACTTAAACAACTGAGCTAAGGGGCAGGCCCTGCCCCTCTTACTTTACATAAAAGCACACAATCATGCAAAAAGAGCATACACAGAGTCAGGGAACAAACATTGTGACCATCTTGCTGTGGTACAAGACATGTCCCTGAACAAAAACTGGGAAATACATTTGACCTATTAGATGATTGTTTTAAAAGAATCTATTTATTGCTGATTAGAGTACATAACATTGAAAAAAATGACCAATACTGAAAGTTTTTCTTTTTTTTTTTTTTTACATATACATACAGATTTTTATTTATTTTATTTTATTGAGAAACAAAGAGCAATGAGACAGTTTCAAAACCGATTAATAGGACAGTTTCAATAATTAATACAATGTACATTGTTATCTTTTTAGTGGTTATCCATAGTACAAGATGCAAACAGGATATCCTGTCCAAATACTATTAGTACAAATCTTTCTTGTCATTGAAAAGTTTTTCTTTTTTTAAGAATGTATAATTGATAATGATATAGGGGAACTGCTGACCTGCTAGATATCTGGGATGAATTCATGTTCTCTGAAATCGAAGAATGAATTTCAGGAACAATGGAGGTTAAGAGTAGAATGTATTTACTCTAATGGGGAAAGAAAGAAAGCTTCTGTCTGAGAGAAAGAGAAGGGAACAGTTGTCTTCTTCTAGGGGATTCACAGAGCAAAACCACACAGTGAGGTAGGTCCAAGGTGGGGACAAAATGGGAAACTGCAAGGTGGACTATGACTATGCCCAGCTAATAAGAATACAAGTACAATTACTCAGGTAAAAGTGTTAAATCAGATTGAATGGGGAGGTGAGTCACATGGCAAGCAGGCATGAATACAGACCAGGGGCTCTTCTGTAGGGGGTTGGGTTTAGAGACTCTTCTTGGCTTTTTCAAGGTGATTGATACCTACTTAGAATATTAACCCCTGATGTCTGATGTCTATCCCTAGGGGGGTACATGGGTGCGTTTGTTCAATCTTTCCTCTTGAGGTCCGGCCCACTGTGGAGGTGCCTGTCCCTCCCACAGTTGCAAGGTCATCTTGTCTTCCATACTGGCTCCTTTGAGGGCCTACCCCTGTCTGACTGCCTATAACATTTCTAACTCAGCTGCCTACAACAGCAAGAGTATATTCATGTAATATGGTAAAAGTGGTATACTAGGGCTGACAAGATAGCTCAGTGGACTAAGTGCCTGCTTAGGCAAGTACAGGCACTGGGGTTCAATCCCCCGTACCTCATGCCATGCCAATCCTGCCCCTGGGCACAGTGAGCTGGTGATAGAGTCTGGGTGTGGTGGCGCACACCTATAATCTCAAGGCTGGGAAACCTGAAAATAGAGGACCACTATGAGTCCGAGCTGCATAGTGAGACCCTGTAACAACCAAATACATAAAAAAAAGTGGTATACTAAATGAGTTTTTTAATAAAGTATATTGCTGATAAAAGTATATTTATATAACATGGTAGAAAGTTGTTAATATTAAATGAGTTTTTTAAAATAATAAATGATTATTGAATAAAGTTTTAAAAATATATTTACATAACATTGAAAAAAGTGGTTAATACAGTATAGGCCGAGAATCCTAAACTTAATCATATCTTTTTTTTTTTTTTTTTTTTTTTTTGCGGTTCAGGGGATTGAACTCAGGACCTTATGCTTGCCAGGCAAGTGCTTATTCTACTAAGCTATCTCCCCAGCCCTTAATCATATCTTTGACCAATGAAAAGTTATGACTATAAGGAACCTATCATAAGAAATTAAGCTAAAAATTAACATCATTTAGATAGAATTGTTTAGAAATTTTAAATTTCAAAAATCTTTTTAAAAACATAAAACTTCTCAGTAATAGAGAAATTAAAGAACTTCATGATAGTGTATTATGGGACCATTAAATGTATAAAGGATTTTTTGATACTACATTACAGGGAATTATTTATAGTATGGCATTGAATGGCAGGGAGTGGGATACGAAACTGATACACAACAGGATACCAGCTATTCATAAAATCAAGAGAAATAGAATGAAATACCGGAGGCTGATTCTGGGAAATGGGACTATCAAATTTTTTTAGCTCAGCAAACTAAAGCGTCTGCTTAGGGAGGCTCAGACTGGGGTTCGATCCCAAGCATGCTGTGCCAGCCCTGCCGCTTGGGCATGCTGAGATGGTGAATGAGATTAGGCATAGTGGTGAGCACCTGTAATCCCAGTGTTTGGGAGACTGAAAATGGGAGGATCACTACAAATCCAATCTGTGTAGTGAGACCATGCAGACCCTGTACTAAATACATAAAAGAAATTTTTTTCTTATTTTAAATTTACATATATTTATAATATCGACTGTTTAAAAGGTTTGTAATGAATAAGTAGATATTATTTGAATTAGAAAAGATACCTTTTGTTGGAAAAGGTTGCCAGTAAATATCCCTTCTGCAATTCAAATGCTTTCCCTCCACTCTGAAATGATCCAGTACTTCTTTTGTTTCCAGAGGGCATCTCAGGAGACTAAGAACATCATTCTGCCCCATACTGCTGGCTGAAGCCAGGTGATCTCAATTTATACTCCAAAAGGCCTAAGGAGACAAATTATATTTTCTCAAGGAGAAAGCAAGACACAGCCAGGTACATTCACCATCATGGGGAGTGAAGGTCCTAACAGCCCCCAGGAAGGACTCGTGTCCTCCAGCAGAAGTGCTACAAGGGAAAAAAACGATTTATTAATGAAAGCTGTTAAAAAAAAAGATGTCAGTCAGATAAAGCAGCTGCTGAATGAGGGGGCCGATGTCAATTTCCAGGAAGAAGAAGGGGGCTGGACACCTTTGCACAATGCAGTACAAGGTGGCAGCAAGGACATTGTGGAGTTGCTCCTTCATCACGGTGCTGACCCTCATCAGAGGAAGAAGAATGGGGCCACCCCTTTCATCATCGCTGGCATGGAGGGACATGTGGAACTGCTCAGACTTTTCCTTTCCAAGGGAGCAGATGTCAATGAGTGTGACTCTAATGGCTTCACAGCTTTTATGGAAGCTGCTTGTCAAGGTAATGTTGAAGCCTTAAGGTTCCTCTACGACAACGGGGCAAATGTGAATTTGCCTCGGGAGACGAAGAAGGATCAGAAGCTCCTTGGGAAAGGAGGGTGCACGGCTCTCATGGATGCTGCTGAGAAGGGCCACAGCGATGTGTTGAGGATTCTCCTGAAAGAGATGGGGGCAGAGGTCCATGCCCGTGACAACATGGGCAGAAATGCCTTGATCCGTGGCCTTCAGCACTCTCCGGATGAAGAGGTGGAGGAAGTTACCCGCCTTCTGCTGGAGCACGGGGCTGATGTTTGTGCGAGAGGAGAAAGAGGGAAGACGACCCTGATACTGGCAGTGGAAAAGAAGCGTGTTGGTTTGGTGCAGATGCTTCTGAAACATACAGCATCTGGAACACCAGAGCACATAGAAATTGATGCAAGAGATAATGAAGGCCGAACAGCACTGTGGGCCGCTGTGGAGCTCAACCAGAAGGAGATCGTTAAGTTACTGTGTGAGAAGGGAGCCAGCACAGACTGTGGAGAGCTTGTCTGCATGGCAAAGCATAAACTTCATGACAATAAACTTGCAAAGCTTCTTTATTCTTATGGGGCGAAAGATTGCTCCCATCGCCCTGCTGAAGACTGGAAGCCTCTGAGCTCGCGTTGGGGGAAAAACCTGAAAAACCTCCATGCAATGTGCCACCCTAACATTGGCAAACTCAAGATCTTGATGAACGATGACTACAAAATTGCTGACACTTCTAAAGGGGGTGTCTACCTGGGGCTCTATGAAAAGCAAGAAGTGGCTGTGAAGATGTTCCGCGTGGACAGCGAACACGCCCGAAGGGAAGTGGACTGCCTGCGCCACTTCCGGGAGCACAGTAACTTTCTGACCTTCTATGGGCATGAGAGCAATGGGAGCTGCTTGTATGTGTGTGTGGCCCTCTGTGAAAGGTCTCTGGAAGAGCACTTGGAGGAGCACAAAGAGCACGCTGTGGAGGATGAGGAAGATGCACTTGGCCAGAATGTCCTAGCATCTGTACTTAAAGCTGTGCAAGAATTACACTGGAATAAATATAGACATCAGGATTTGCAGCCAAAAAACATCTTAATAGGTGAGTTCTCTAGTCTGGTTTTTGTTGTTGTTGTTTTTTGTTTTTGTTTTTTGCTATGATAGAGTGCAACAGACTAGGTAATTTAGTTAAAAAAACAAAAAACCAACCCAGAACGATTCCTTTGTTACAGTTCTGGAAACTAGAAAGTTCAAGGCACTGTCATGTAGTGAGGACCTTCCTGCTGTGACAAGCCATAGCAGAAAGCAGGAAGATGAGAGGGCACACAAGAGCCCTGCTGTAATAAATCCACTCTCAGGATAACGAACCCACTCCTCTGACAAAGGCATCCCATTCACTAAGGCCTATTCCTCCTGACTGGATCTACCATTAAAGGCCTTGGCTCTTAACAGGAGCCATAAACCATAAAATTCCCTGCAAGACAACCTAGGAGAAAATCTGGAGTACCTTGGGTTTGGTAAAGACTTTTTATTTATTTATTTTTGTATTTTAGAGAAAGGTCTCACTGCTAGATCAGACTCATAGTGATCCTCCTGTTTATAGCCTCCCAAGAGCTGGGATTACAGGTGTGCACCACCATGCCCAGTCTCAATTGCCCTCTCAGGGCACCGTGGGGCCCGGGTTGGCACAGCAGGCTGGGGAATTGAACCCCTGGCCCCTGTGCCTGTTTGCAGGTGCTTTAATCCACTGAACTATTTGACCAGCCCAAGATTTTTTAGATACAATTCCAAAGGTACAATGCATGTAGAAAATAATAAAAGCAATAGTAATTGACTTCATTGCAATAAAAAAAAAATTCTGCTCTGCAAAAGACAAGGGAATGAAAAGATGAGGAGTAGTGTGGGAGAAGAATACCTGAAAGAGGCATAGCAGGTAAAGGACTGTTAACCCAAATAGGCAAACAATTCTTACAACTCAATGATAAAGGGGCTGGCAAAGTAGCTCGGCAGACTAAATTGCCTGCTTAGGCAAGCTTAGGCAAGAGCAGGGACTGTGGTTCAATTCCCTGCACCACATGCCGTGCCAGTCCTGCCCCCAGGGTGGGGTGGGCTGGCCAAAGTCCAGGTGTAGCGGAGCATGCCTGTAATCCCAGC